TCTCTCTCTCTCTCTCTCTCTCTCTCTCTCTCTCTCTCTCTTCCACGCTCTGAAGGCGGTGCAATAAATTGGACCGCTCGCGCTTTCCTTTGCGAAGCAGTCATGCGAGACGCAAAAGTCTCTCGTAAAACTCGGAATGTAAACACGGCGGTTGTGGAGCGGCTGCCCGCTGCACCGCAAGACCCGCCCGGCTGCCTCTGCCTCTGCCGCTGCTGCTGCTGCTGCTGCTGCCGCTGCCGCACGGACAGCAGCACTACTCCAAGCAAATGCTGGCGACTAATGGTAATGATGGGAGCAGCCTGGCCCCTCCTGCTCAGCCCTGACCCGCCCCGCTCCGGAGCACAACGCCCGGAACGCACCAACGAAAACGGAGCGGTGGCAGAGGGGAAAGACGCATTTCCATAAAATTGACGTACTCGTGTTTTGGGTATACACACAACACACGCGCACCGGTGCGGGGAGGCGAGCGGCCAGGGGAGAGCGACCGGGGCTACACTAACTCCCCTGCGGGCTCTCCTCACCCTGAGCTGGCCAAGTTGCTAATTTCGCGGTTCAAAGACCGAACTGCGTGGAACTCAATTTCGTCAAGACGCGACGTGGCCTGCCTGGTGGCGCCATAGCCAGCTAGTCAAGGGGAAAGGGAAAAGGGTAAGGGGGGTTGGGGGCACAGGTGTAGTAGCGCCACTAATTCGGATCGGCAATTACAGGTGGAGGCGGTTGGAAAGGGATTAAAGGGATTCTTCTTAAGCTGCCGTGCTGCTGCTTTTGCCGTCCGTTGAACTAGCCTGCGAGGGACAATATAGGGACCAAGGACTGTTAGTTTTTTTTTTATGTGGATCGATCTAAGCTTACGTGTATTCCCTATATGGGCCCTTTTTACTAGTAGATACAGTGAGTACAGCCACCTCTCAAAATGCAAATTTTACAGGTGGCTGTGGACGCCTTGACGGTGGCCGTGGTGGCGTACGTGATCGCGCTGTCACTGGCGCTGCTGTTCGCGGGCCGAGAGGGCTACGAGGTGGACGCCAACCAGGAGCTGAGCGCGCTGGGCGCCGCCTCGCTGGTGGGCTCACTGTTCGCCTGCATCCCGGTGTCCGCCAGCCCGTCGCGCTCCTCGCTGCAGGTCGCCGTCGGCGGCCGCACCCAGCTGGCCTCCGTCGTGTCCTGCGCCGGCCTGCTCGTCGTCCTGCTGTGGGCCGGACCCTTCTTCGAGACACTGCCCCGCTGCGTGCTCGCCAGCATTATTTTGGTCGCGCTCAAGCCCATGCTCGTGCAGGTTACTCGCCACTATGCCCCTTTCCGAACTGCTCAATTTTTGTACGACCGGTTGCCCAAAGCAGCAGGCTCACTATTTTTCAATACATGTCGCATCACATATGGTAATATGTTAAAAATGTCGCATTAGTTAAAACATGTCACACATGCATCAAAACACACGGTCAAGAAAAGTTTACGTTTTTAATTTTCAAGAAGACTCCATATTGTTCAGGGATTACGTAAAGAAAGACAATTTTGACGAGTCGAATTACTAATATTTCTAATACAGTGTAAACTGGTTGGCGTATTAAGACGCCCAAATCTTGGCTTTCAAATACGCAAATATTTGGCGTTCTGAGAAGGAGTTCTACGAGTTAAACGTTCCGGGCTGAAATAACTTTATAGCCACATGCGTGATAAATTACGGAGCCATGTTCAAACGTAAGTTAGTCATGAGATAATTAGTATATTAATTCTATGTAGCCTCAAACAATAATGTGACAGTTTTCAAAGTTAAACGAGTGTGACATGAATTGAATATAGCAGTATATTTATTATACCCTAATATTATCCTTTATATACATTAAACTTAGTGGAAAAATATTGCTCCCCAGACAGCAGATGTGGTGCGGTTCTGGCGCCTGTCGCGGTTGGACGGCTCGCTGTGGCTGCTCACCTTCCTGACCGTGGTGCTCGTGGACCTCGACATCGGCCTGGCCGCGGGGCTGGCCGCCTCGGTGCTGCTCCTGTTCGCGCAGGCGGCCACGCCGTACACCTGCACGCTGCAGCCCTTGCCGGCCACCAACATCTACGTGGACACGCGCCGCTACGCCTCCACCGTGCAGCTCAGGGGCATCCAGGTGACTACCAGATTAGAGTCGCGGCAGCCAGAACGCGAAGTTTTGGCAACGAAGTTTTGGAATGGCGCACACATAATATCGACGTACACGGAGTAGTACATTATAGGTGTGACCCGGTTTCACCTCAAACATGGCATCTATCTAAATCAGCATTCGATGCAATGCCACGTCGTTCAGCCCTCGCGGTTCTGAGCCTCTCCCTTGTCGTTTAATAACGTAAACACCACAGTGATTCACCGTAGCATGGTGTTTTGCATCACAGCACTCTACACCGACACGGTATTTCTTCCCATGTACACGCACAACGCACATATCGCACTGACACGGAATTGACCCTCCCCACTCCTGGGCACGGCGCAATAACCTGCTAGAGACGCCCAAGCAGTGCGCGGCCCGGCCGGTATTTCATGTTTATCGCTTTACGGTCACAACAGCCTCGCAATGCATTGCAGCCGAGGCTGCGCAGGCGCGCCAGACCCGCGAGCTGCAATTTACCGCGACGATAGCGGCGACCTGGAGCGGCCCGGCGCGACGACCGACCCGAGATAGATGGAGCATAGGCGATAGAAATGTCAAAGCGGTTGGAGGGTCGTCACAACGACCGCGTCGTGAATCAGAAGGCAGCAGTCGAGGAAGGGGAGGGGAAAGTGGGCGCACTATGAAAGATGCTTGCACCGTTAAAGGGACAAAGCTCAATGAAAAAAAAAAATGAAACAAAATTTGTTTCCTTAACGAGTACATTCTGTCGTGACTTTGTAGTTCATGTTCTAATGCAACAAGTAGGTGGTCAGGGATGGTAAAAACAACGCTAGCGGGTTCGTTTAGGAAAAAGAGACAGTCGTAAATTGTCATTTTACGAAGGCATTTTTCACACGTCTTTAAATCCTTACAAACTAAGCCTACTGTACAAAACATTTAGCAGATTTGAAAAACAACGCATTTGCTTTATGTTCAGGTCTTTGCAAGTGCTTTGGAAGCTGAAAAGTAAATGCTTTGTAACAGTGGACGGTGTTACGCGGTTCAGCAATGTGTACACAAGCAGCCTGGGTGCACCTGATGATAAAGCTATCGGTTCCGCTTGAATAATTGCAACAGCCCGTATGACAAGTGGGCTGCCGCGCTGGAACGCTAGCAAAGTTAACTGGCGCCGGCGCCTGTCCACAGGTACGGGCATACACACAACA